CCACTCCCATCCGGTCATATGGGTGGCAAGCCACTCCCACAAAGGAGGCCACACCCACAGAGTAGGTTCGAACAATTTTTGAAACCCACCACTGATTTTCATCCTACATTTTGCTACGTTTTGCATTTTCCAGGAAGCTGTTTCTTACTCAAGGAGCTGGCTTGAAGTTTCCCGGAGAAAGCATGGATCAAGAAGAAGGTAGTTACCTCATTATTTTGTTGTTGTTGTTGTCTGAATCAGATTGATGTGCCTAAGTCTTGCAGCTGTGAATTATGAAAGAAGGGCACTTGAAGTAGTAGTGGTGAATTTGAGGAATGAAGCTGCCATCCTGTCTTCAGCCGTATTTTATTTATTTATATGCCACCTTTGTTGTTTTTATAAGTAAGTCAAGACAACAAACATACTAATCCTCCTTTCTTCTTCTCTTTTCCTCGTGATAACAACCTTGTGAGGTGATTTGGGCTGAGGCTGGCTCAAAAGTCACCCAGCTGGCATTCGTGTCTAAGACGGGACTAGAATTCACCATCTCCTGGTGATTGACCTAAATCCACCCAGCAGAATTCCATACCTAAGGTGGGACTAGAACTCACAATCTCCAGGAGATTGGCCCCTACTCCTCCAATTGGCCTTCATGCATAAGGTAGAACTAAAATTCATAATCTCCTGATTTCTAATCAGGTGCTTTAACTTCTACACCAGGGGTGTCAAACTCGATTTCATTGAGGGCCACATCAGGGTTGTGTTTGACCTCAGGGGGGCACGGCCAGCTTGATGTCACTTATGTCGGGGACACCTGTGGCCCAAGCGCTGTGCCAATGAAAAGGGGCTCCCGAGCTCCGTTTTTGGCTGCGATGGCCTCCTGCAACCCTCTGCCAGCAAAAACGGAACTCGGGAGGGCCATGCCGTTTTCACTGGCAGAGGCAATGTGGGCTGGTCCTTTGTTGTTTCCTGGATGGCCCTGTGGGCCGGATCTAAGCACCCTGCAGGCCAAATCTGGCCCATCAGCCTTGAGTTTAACACCCCTTCCCTAGACCTAACTGATTCAGTAGCTTCCAGATAGTTACAGAATTCACATTCTTAGCTTGAAATTAGGGTGTGTGTGTGTGTTCCTAAATGGTCAACATTGACCTGCAAGGATTGACAGGACAATCTATTTCTTGTGCTCGTCATTAATATCATTCTTGGTATCATTAGTTAATAGTAGTATTTATTGAATTATTTTCATATAATAAATGTTTGGGAGTTGCTGAACAGTCTGAAACTGTTCTGATCTGGGCTTCCCAAGAGCATGAAGCAAATTTCTGGTCCCGACAAAAATCCTTTTTATTAATTGACTGTGAATTCTGCTCATTCACATCCAGCAAAGTCTTTCAAGGGAGGATTTACNCCGCGGTTTTGTGATGGAACCAGGCAAACTTGGCAGTCTCTTAAAGTCACACACAGAACTTTCCACTTTTGAACCAACCAAATGAACGAATTGTTTCTGCAAAAGCCCACTCCCCCATTCGTTCTCTTTTGTTTCCTGTGGGAGGGGCCAATCGCTTCCAAGGTTTGGCTTTGCTCCTGTCGACCCTGATTTCTTAGTTGTTCATAGCATGTGCACATTGGGAACAGGCTCCAGCTGTTCTTCTGTCTCACTGCTCTCTAGTTCCCTCTGCCTCCGATGTAGAGCCCTCGTCTGAGCTTTCCTCAGCCCCCAGGACTGGCCCATGTTCCTCCCCAACCTCCTCACTGTCCGACTCTGCTGCCAGCTATGCTGGCCACCGGCAGGCCACAAGAGTCTAGCAGATGAAAAACTTCCAATGAAGCCTTATCTCTGGGTGGCCTGCAAAAAGGGGAAAGCTTTTTCCATCTTCCCTCAAAAGCTACAGTTCTCAGCTTTCAAATATTAAGAAAATCCTGTCGTATTCTAGATGATGAAATAAAAAAGGGTCGGTTTTCTGCTTGCAGTTGTTGTCCCACGTTCCTACTTTTCAGTAGTTTTTGAGAAATGAGTAACCAGTCCTAGCTACGCTTGGCATACATACTTGCATAAATAAAAATTCTCTGGAAAGGGGAAGTGGTACTTTTAAATATTTTCTTACGGAAAATGATTTCTAAGAGAAAAAGAGGAAGTGATCAAACTTGATTTGATAAGTCACAGCACTCAACAGAATCACTAGAAGTACTAAGTACTTAAAACACCGTTTTAAAGAGTTTTCAATTAAATGAACTGGACTCAGAATTTGCAACTCCCAAGTACAGGCAATCTTCAGCTTACAACCATTTGAATTTACGACAGCTTAGAAAGACCGGGCAAAATCTCTCTCATATTGGAAGGTAATGTTCAAGGCAGAAAGTAGCTATTTCTAAAGAGAACATCTGGTTGGGTTGACGATCGGCAGGCTTGCTGCCATGCATTGGGGCGAGCTCCTGTCACTCACTCCAGCTTCTCCCAAGCCAGCTGTTCAAAAGCAGCCGCCACATGTAAATAGACGAGTACCACTTTGGTGAACAACTTAAGGGGGACATGAAAAGAGCCCCCAACTGAGACACACACCGGGGGGGGGGGAGACACACAGCCAGCCAGCCAGCCCGATATATATACAGAAGAGGGTGGGGGGAGAGACATATACAGAGAGGCAGGAGATAGGGACAGAGAGAAGGGAAGAGGGAGACACACGGGGGTGGGGTGGGGTGGGAGAGATGTCCAGCTTTTCTTTTCTTGTTCTGTGTAAGCCGCCCGGAATCCTCCGGGATTGGGCGGCCTAAAAATCGAATAAATGAATGAAATGAATGAATGTCAAGAGAGTTTTGTGGTTCCTGGCAGTTTTTCACAACTGGTTCCATGCCCTAATGACTGACTGGGTAGGCGTGACTGGGGTGTGTGCGTCATGTGACTTGGTGGGTGGGAGTGACGTTGAGTTGACCACGCCCACCAGGTTTTGTGGCTCCCGGTGTTTTCTTTTCTGTGGGAAACGGGTCCAAATGACTCTTAAGAGTGTTCAGGATTGCAGAGCCCTGTTGAATGAATGTTGTGTTTTACCGCTAATTATTTTTACTCACATTTTCTTTTTGTGTTTTNTGTTCTTTAGCTGTTCCCTTCGTCTGGCAATTCTGCACATGCGCACACTGGGAACAGGTTGTAGCTGTTTGTCTGTCTCATAGGTGTAGGCAAGGGGGCATTGAAACCAGAGTTCATGTCCTGTTATATTGTACTCCGTTTTCGGACTTTTTAGCTGACGAAATAGCCAGAAAATTCTGGTCTCTTTTAATGTACAGCTGTTACTATTGGCTCAGTATAATAATACTGTTTCTTTGAATCTATCCATACTGTCTCTATACTGTCTGCAAAATTAGACAGTCTTTGGCTGCCCCTCAATTATCTCATCACTGATGGTAACACAGTATGCTATCATGGTTTGAGCTGTTTTATTTCCATGTTTTAATTTTTAACTGTAATGAAAGATTTATTGATTGAGATGCATTTTCTTACACGCACTCTCACTTTTTCTGGCAAAAGAAAGGACATTTTGGCAACTTGTACGCTAGATTGAACACCGTTCCTTCTTTTCTTGCTTGCAATATCTAAACCAGAGGTCTTCAAACTTGGCAACTTTAAGACTTGTGGACTTCAACTCCCAGAGTTCTCCAGCCAGCTGGAGAATTCTGGGAGTTGAAGTCCACAACTCTTAAAAGTTGCCAAGTTTGTGAAACTCTGATTCAGAGGTGGGTTCCTACCAGTTTGGACCGGGTTTGGCCAAACCGGTAGTAACTTGGCGGCCTGGGTCGCTGGGAACCGGCAGCGACCCAGGCCTGCCATGCCCCTGAACCGGTTCTCCTATGGCACCGCCATCTTGTTTTTTGTTTATGCGCATGCGCAGAATACTTTTCATTGCAAAAATGTATTCCCCCCTCCCAGTTTTTAAGGTTTTGCACATGCACAGACCTTTTTATTCGCAAATAAGCACGCAGGCGCAAAATGTTTGCATACACCGAGCTGGCAGTAATGCCAGCGGCAAACCACCCCTGCCCTGATCTATATGTTTGCAAAATCTAAAGGTCTGCCCTGATGGCTAAACTTGCAAACAAACCTCTCGTCCCCAGTTTTCAAAACTGAAGGGGGAGAGCCGAGGTGGCGCAGTGGTTAGGGTGCAGTACTGCAGGCCACTTCAGCTGACTGTTATCTGCAGTTCGGCGGTTCTAATCTCACCGGCTCAAGGTTGACTCGCTCAAGGTTGACTCG